CTAGCATTTCCTGTTGCACGCCCCGTTTCCATCCCTTTCATTTACTCTATTATCTATGTTTTCAGCAAGAGGGGCTTAGCCCCACCCCCCCCCATGTTCACATGCTAAGTCATGCTTTATAATTTTGAGCCCCCCCCCCCCCAACTTTTGAATCATTCCTACGCCTATATAGACACGACAGCATTTACCATTAAATTCCTATAGAAAATTCTCTTTCAGCTATTTTTGATGCATGCAGGGTCTTTGTGCAGTGTGTGCGTATAATGGCTGGTGATTTACTTGGATATCTTTGCGATTCATTGTTTACAAAAAATGAAAATGCTTATACTCTAACTATGCTACACTAATAAAAAGCTTAAACTCAACTACAAAAAAGAGGAGTCCATTAAAAATGATCACATCAGCTTTCAATGATGATTGAAGAATATCAATTTGAACTTCTTGTTGAACAGGAACATCGTGAGGCTCCAAACTGGCTACCCTTGCAAAGGACATTGAGGGGGTGGCTTCCATAACAATTACAAGCATAACACAGCCCAAACAATTTCTCTCTTCTATTTGCTAGGCTCCAAGTACGTGATAGTTTACGAAATTTCTTCTTGCTTCCCCAAGATTTCTGTATATTTGTGACAAAAGTAAATGGATGAGAAAGAGAGAGAGAAAGAAGAAAATAATTTTGTCATTACTGGACTGTTACTGTTAATATCACCTTGCACTTAAACCGTTTACACCGGATTTTCCTAGACTGCCAGTATGCATAAACACTAATATTTCCTTGAGTTGTACCATAAACTTCAAAGCATGTATTAGCATCCTGTGATGATGACCCACAGAGTGAGGTTGATGCTTCTGGATTTGTGGTATAGGTGATGGAGGCTGAGACTTCAATACCTAATTTGTATTTGAGCTAATAGAAAAAGAAAATCAAATAAAATTATCTCTGACACCCTCAGCTTCTTTTTCACTCTTCTCTCATATTTTGACTCTCACCAATACTCTAGCAGTAGCCTCTCCTGTAACAGTTAAAGTAGGTCCTGTCTCAAGCTTAGCTGATGCCTTCATATTAACATCATTATCCAAACGTCCAATAAATGCATCGAACTCCATTTGTCCAGATAATTGACCAGTGAGAGTGAGATCCAGAGTACCTACATAAATAAAGAAGCTATACTTTGCTCGGAAAAGAGTAACTGTCTTTTGCCATGAGCGAGTGAACTTGTATGTCCTTGTAGTTGTGCACATTTTATTTAAGAGTGTGGAACCAACTATCTTAATGTAACGCTTGTATGTCAAAGTGCTAACAGAGTTACGGTCTGGGAAGTCCCTCACATATGAGAACATTATGTCAAGTGCAGTGTAAGTTTTTTTCCAGACCACAAGATCAAACCTTGCTCGTGCATACA